TGAACAGCCCTGTGAGTATATAACTTAAATTGTAACCATGATGCAAGTGTATTGCCATAAATGCCCTCACAATGTAACCATATTATTTGTTGAAAAAAAATAAACAATTTGTGTAAGTGGGTTAAAAATGCAGCGGGAACGATATTACGTTGTCTCGGAAGAAAAATTAGTCAGGATAGCTGATCTCATCCAAGTGCATATGCTCATTAATTCTTACATAATATAATAGGCAAGGCTTTGGTTCTGGGATACCAACCAAATTTTGGCTTCAATGGAAAACAGAGGAGGTGGATGAGATTGATGGAGAAGTGTGATAAACCAAGAAGACATTTAGAGGTAAATATACATACATCATCTTTAATTTCTCCATATTTTAAATATATATTTTTAATGAAAAGAAAAGAAAATGTTTTTGGTCTATGATAGTTTATTTTTTTACAATGGAAATATTGCCCATTACGTCAATATATTTATGATATGACAAAAGAAGGACTTACTTATAGAGTAACTTAGGCTGAAAACTTAAAGATCTACCACAATCGATCTGTTACATTTCTAAAATCGAAAACAATGGGTTAACACTCATAAATTAAATTATATCTAATTATATAGGCTTCAGGAAATTATATCTTATTATATAGGCTTCGATTTATTAAGCTTTCCAAGTGGTTCAATATTGTTAGAAAACCTTTTCAAATATATTATCTACAAATTTTCCCAGAGACTTTAACCCCTTAAGGACACATGACATGTGTGACATGTCATGATTCCCTTTTATTCCAGAAGTTTGGTCCTTAAAGGGTTAAAGGACCATTATAGGCACCCAGACCACTTCAGCTCAATGAAGTGGTCTGGGTGCCAGGTCCCCCTAGTTTTAATCCTGCAGCTGAAAACATAGCAGCCACTAGAGGCCGCTCCCGCGATCCTCAATGCGAAAATCGCATTGAATTCACACTAGACGTCCATTGGAAGGCATTGAGTAATGCTTTCCTATGGGTGGTGTGAATGTGCGCACGGCTCTTGCCACGCATGCGCATTCGGAGCTGACGTCGGTAGGGGTGGAGAAGTCACCAGCGCTGAGGGAGCCCGGCACTGGGTTAAGGTAAGTGGCTGAAGGGATTTTAACCCCTTCAGCCCAGCGGGAGCGGGGAGGGGGCTATTAACCCTACAGTTTGTTTTCCTGGCACTATAGCGCTCATTTAAGGGTGACTTCAGTAGAAAAATCATTCAGTATGTTTTTCTAACAGTATTGAATCATTTGAAAAGCTTATTAAATCAAGAACTGAGTATTGTAAAAACTGGATAACGTAAGGCAAGGAATCAGCAGTTATTAAAAGTTTATTCATTCCATAAACCATGTAAATAATAATTCTATAATTCCTTATAACAGAGTGAAAGCGACAATGATTATGAAACAAAACAACAGTCAATGGTAACTATAAAAACTGGTCTTTTTATTTCTAATAAAACAGACTTTTATTCCTGTTTCAAAGTTTGCGGGAAATATTGATTACAGCACCCATATTTATTTTTCTATAGCACTGATTCTCAATTCTTTTTTTTAGTAATAAGAAGATGTAGCAAATATAAATTCTAAGGAAGTTAGAACATGAATTATAATTAAAATTAATTATAAATAGTCTTTTTTTTCCGATTCAGCGATCACTAAATGCACATTGATTGCAGAAAAGAATGTACCTAAATGTTAATTATTCAATAAAATCTGCTAATTAAAAAATAATAAGCGCTAAACTTTGGGCTTTATTCAATAAGATCTCATCTTAGTGAATTGTAAACCGAAATGTAATATTTAGGATAAAATACAGCTAATCTCTGTTTATTGATGAACTAGAGATATTTTTCATATGAGCTACATTAGATTGCATTTTATAATTAGGATTTTAATCCACTATAATTCTGGGGTTAATGAATAAATACAGTGGTTTTAAACAGTGAAAATTAAAATAAATAAATAAAATAAAATAAAGGTCAATCATTTACTGTCATTCAGTTAAGACCATCAAGATTCATCTAATTACATTTGTTTGTTAGATTTGTTAATATTATTAAAGAAGTGTCATATTGTATTTTCTGCACTTTACATCATTCCATACACACTGACATGGAGGTGATTTAAAATGGACATCTCTTATTTATTATTGTAGGCTTGGGATCTGCCAGATGTGACAGTAATTTAAAGGAGATGTTATTTGCATTGCCTTCCCTGGCATAATATCATGGGCTTTTATTCCAAGGTTATGAGAGGTAATGTTATAGAAGGCAGATTTATCAAAGTAAAACAGATACTATTATATAGGAACATATTGCATGTTGAGAAACATTCTTTTGGTTTCCACGGTGATTGCTCCTTATTTAGCTCTGAATAGCAACTCCTATTCAGCTGCAGAATAGCAACTGTGTTTGCCTTGGTAACAGCTTTGCCTCCCCGCACCCTGATTTCTCTCCTGAAACTGTAATCAAAACAAAACACTAAGCCCTCAATGAACACTATCCTAACAACCTACTTTTCTACCCTTCCCTTACCTTTTGTGTCACTATATCCCACTCCCTCTAGCATGTAAGCTCATTGAGCAGGGCCCTCAACCCCTCTGTTCCTGTGTGTCAAACATGTCTGGTTACAATTACATGTCTGTTAGTTCACCCATTATACAGTGCTACTGAACTTGTTGGCGCTTTATAAATAATAATAATAATAATAATAATAATAATAATGTGACAATAATGTTCATAATTCTCCTTTGCTGGTGTCTTTTTTAAAGTGTATTTGTTTATTTTTCCTAGGTATTATTTATGCTTTTATTTTTTATTTGTTTAAATATTATAATTGTATGACCCACCATTGTGACATGTTAAAATAGCTAAACTGGCTATCATTGGAATCCAGACGTACCCTTCAACTTTCCATCCTTGAGTTTTTCTGGGAAGCTCCCACCCTACCTTAGTAGAATGCTCTCTCCAGCTGTTCCCACCTACTATAACCTCTGATCCTGCTCCAGCACTTTATTTAGTTTACCACAATACGAAAAATAAAGCATCTCGATCCCCATTTTCCTATAGAGCACCGCAATAATGGAATGACCTCCTGCATACTTTCAAATCTTCCTCCAGCCTAAAATCCTTTAAGAGATCCCTCTCTACATATCTCAAAACAACTTGCACCTGTCATGGCTGATTGTATATTTCTTACCTGTTCTATGTTAATTTTTTATGTGTGTTATGTATTAATATGGGTTTTGTATTTTTAATATCATATTGTACCCTATTGTAATGATGTAATGTTTGTGGATCCAGGACATACTTCAAAATGAGAGAAATCCTATTCTATTCTTCCTGATAAAATATTTTATAAGTAAATAAATATCAGCCATTTTTATGTTATGTTCAAATATGTAATTGACGTGCCCAATTGTTTATTTTTTATCATTGGAATGCATGTGGATATCAGTAGAACTGTTAAACTTGCTAGCCTTCCATCCTCAGAAGCTCCTAAATCACCATTGGCCATCATCAACTGTTAATCCACCTCTTCTTTTTGACAGTGGACTTGGAGTCACTAAAACATGCTTTTGTGTTAATGTGTCCGGTGTATGTTATATAGTTTATGCAGAACTCCTATATCTATGAATCAGATTACACTACAATGACTACTTAGAGAAGGTATTAGAGACCTACTCCACGATCGGGAAACTTTCCTTGCAAAAACCTTAACGCCAAGCAATGTTTTTTGTTTATCAATTCTTTAGCCTTTACTTTACCATAAAACTGTTTATCTGTTGTTACCTGCTTGGAGATTATCTAGATAAGGTCTCAGCATTCTTTTTCTACTTTCCACATGTTATTTAATGTTTATTTACCGCACTTCGATCTCCTCTCCATCTTTGTATTTTACTAAACAACCAGGCTCAGTATACGCATTTTAACTAGTAGTCATCATTTCTACTTCTTGACCAACCTCACAAATAAAACATGTTTTCTGTTAAGATTATTTTTATTCAATTCCTTTAAGATAACACATCTGGGGAGGAGTTGGATTGAACACAAAAGAAAGAGGAAGATGTTGCAATCCCATTCCAGTGCTAAGCTGGTCCGTAAACTTCATGCAGACGGCAACCTATCCCTTCAGATGAAGCTCTCCTTGGCTGAACATAAATCCAGATTGGCAGATGATGCAGATTCTGATTACGTCATCATATCCAGCCTATCTTTGCATCCTTCCACACTTCATCGACCTGGGAACCCAGGCGGAGATGCACTCCCTACTGTAGGTGTTTCACCTAGACATCAAGAAAGACATTCCAAGTCTTACAGACACCTTAGAAAATAAATTATTTGACCAGGGCACAAGGACAGATAATTATTGAAGCCTGTGTTGACACCATGCTACGTGTTCTTAGTGTATGCATTGCCTGCATCCCTAAATGTTCTACCAGAGACAATGTCCATTTTTCTATATATATTGTAAATGTATTTAATGTCTTGTTGAATGTCTTGTTGAACGTTACTTTTTGAAAACTTAGTAAACTTTTCAAGTGGAAAAAGTAATAATTTGAAATTTGAACTAGCACAAGTGTTTATGGAAGTGCATAATGTAGCGTGCTAGCATATTTATTATTACTATGTATAAAATGCTTGTAGGGGATCTGGAGAGACATACACACATTTAACATTTCAATGGGACAGGGCTGAATTAACATGGATGGGACAACAGCAAAGAGTGGCTGCTGCACAGGAGTGTGACTCCCACTAATCTCATGTAGATCTTGACATGTATGCTTCAGCTCTGTCCTAACGGTCTCCCACCCTGTAATGCAGCAATCAAATTGTGTATTACAGAAAGTAGTGTACACATGTCATCACCTACCAATTAGGAAAGGGTTTGGAATCCACCTATAGATATAAATGTACACCTTTGTATTAACTTCTTTGCTCCCAGAAGAGGCTGAGCTGTTTGTGACATAAATTCAACATTGCACCAGCAGCCTGAACAGTTGCTACAAGGCATGTTGCATTCATTGATTTATGTTGTTTGTGGCAAAATCCAACACTGCTATCAACAAGCTACAGAAGAAATCAAGTTTTGTCAGAGCTGGCAACATTTTTTCAATATTTTACTTTAAGCTTGAACAAAACTGGCCATTTTTCTCTGACTTCTTATTTTTAAGAACTTGTTCTCATCCACAGAACGTCCACTCATTGCATATATTTTGGTCTTTACATCATTAACCCATACCATCTTTACACCATTAAAGCAATCTCTGAGATGCATAGACCACCATGTCTGGTGACAATTATTTCATGGCGTGAGAGTACACGTGACTGCACCCGATAGGGGCGGTCACACTAGATATCCCTCACACCTACCCCAGGTGCGGTGGATCATAGCCCAATCCACCAGTACTGCAGTCCCCAGTGCGTGTGATGTTCCTATGGATGCCGCCACTGTTCTCCCTCGGAGTTAAGTAACCCTGCCCCGGAAAGGTCAAGGGTCGTGCGAAGATACGTGCATCGTCACGTCATTGACACACATGCACGTTCTGGAATCACATGACCCAGGCTAGCCAATGAAAATATGTTTAGGGGAATTAAAATCCCGTTACCATTTTTCTTTGCCCTGTCATGGTTTCCATGTAGTTTGGTTATCTGAAAGCGTGTTCTGTTTATTTTTATTTGGTTATTTTTATTTGGTTTTTGGCTTGTTCTAGTATGACCCTTTGAGTTTGTCTTCTCGTATTATTTCTGTCTCTGTCCCTAACCTCCGCTTTGTTACTGACTATTCTTTCTGTGTTAAATCCAGGCCATTCTAGGGCCCAGTAATAAGTTTATCTATTTTTAGTATATTCTTTGTGTTTGACTTGATTCTACGTGTTGGGCCACACAAAGTCACTTGGATCACATAATTTCTTTTCTATTCTAATGTTTGTTTTGAGCAACCTCTTAACATCTTGACCATGTCTGTATTTTTTAATACATATAACTGGCTTTTTAAATATTTGTGCTACCAAGCTGATGTGAAGGTATATATAATGAAGTGGCCTCAAAGATTGTACATCGTTTTACGACAACATAAGTTGCATGCCAAAAATAAAGAGTCTCTTTAAAAACAGCATATATTATTTTACACCTTCAAAATGCTTATCAGTTAGATGTGAATAGAGATCAGCAGAACATCTAAAACAGTTTTGTCTGTTCCTGAAATAAAATCTGTTTTCAAGAAGTTTTGCTTCTGCAAATTGTTTTTACTATAGTTAGACTCCATCTGTTCTTCTCTTTTACTCTAAACCAATCAGCCCACTTCTGCCTTGAAATGGATTCATTGTCAACCATTGCGGAATGTCTCCACGTCTAAGACATAGCTGAATAAGGGAACACTGTGCCAGAGAACGCTTAATGAACTGTCAGGGAGCCACAAAGATATTTTTCTTTGCCAGATATGTCAAATATACCTTAGAAGATTAATAGTTGGATCAGCACTTGCAGAGATCTTTCCCCTTCTGTTCTTTCATAAACAAAGTTGATTGCTTGCCATAAGGCCCTCACATCATCAAAATTATGTTTCTTAATATAAAATCCATCTTCTGTATATCCCTATTAGATCCACCTCTTAAATATTTCTGCTGTTAACTAGTGTAAAAATGTTGGTTTTAAAACATTTGGAATAAAGTACACCAGTTACACAATAATCTAGGTTGAAAAAAGGCTCATGTCCGTCAAGTTGAGTATTTTGTTTACGCGGTTGATAATAAGAACGTAAAAAATATAATTTGTAACAATTTATGCTACTGTCCCACAAAAGGAGGGAAACCATTCTTCTTGACTCCATAATAGCAGTCTGATTTCTCCATGTTTCAACAACTATTTCCATGCATATTAGCTAATACAGACTTGAATAATTAAAAAAATTAAAAAACAAAAAACTTTCATGCTCTACAAAATCAGATAAAAGATACAATTCTCCATTTAGTTAGTTATTCTCAGAGAAGGAGACCAGAGCTTACCTAGATGCAAGCCAATAAAACTTAACCACTTGCCATTAAACTAACATTGCATTAGAAGTTATTTATTTATTTTTTTAGGATTCCTTATTTAAATATATATATATAATTTGTGTTCGGGGCATTCTCACATGATATAGAATAAGATGGGTTGTAGAGATGTAGCTTTAGGAATAGTCGGTTGAGGTGTGCCGAAACCGACGTATGCTGTAGGCTGGTGAAAAGTGGGCTTACATAGAGGAAATATGAACAATGGGAGTGGGGCTATTCGTCTGACCAACAAAGGTCTATAGCCACTCCCACAACTTCAGGCCATGCCTTCCAATTTGTGTTCGGGGCATTCTCACATGATATAGAATAAGATGGGTTGTAGAGATGTAGCTTTAGGAATAGTCAGTTGAGGTGTGCCGACGTATGCTGTAGGCCGGTAAAAAGTGGGCAAAAAGAGACATATTAATGCAAAACATTATACAGGATCATAGTGCATTTGTTAACCATCAGGTAGACATTTTAATGAAAGCTTCCTAATTTCTAATGAAAGCTGTGGTATGTAAGTCGCATAAGCCTATGATTCCCAGTGGCCCCGTGTCTTAACGTTTGTGGGGATGTCTTGGCTATAGGCTGTGGAGGCTGCTCTTATCCTAAAGGAGTGCCCTGAGTAGTCGCTAGGGTTAAGTTCGAGCCTGGTGAATGAGTAGGTGGACATAGTGCATGAACTTACCTGTGGTAAGGACAGTATTGTGCAGCGACAGTAATGGTTCAGTGGTGCGTATGGTGGCGGTCCCAAGAACGTAACCAGTACCTTGACCGGGCACCCAGCATTGCTTGTAAGGTAGTAGGTTATAAGCACTGGCTCACCCATGAGACTCATTTTAGGAAGGGACCGGACATAGTGGTCTGTGTGTTTTAGAAGATAAGAGGTCAACAGGCACTCTTGTTTATGATGTTGGCCACTGATAGTGAGTTATTTTTTTGGCCTGAGAAAGCTGTTAAAGTCTAGATAGGTAGCAGTTTTGATAACTGCATTGGTGCGTGGCACGGAAGGTGCAAGGTCGAGTGGTTCTGACATGGTTTGAACATTGTATGTCTATGGCCAGTATTTCGTTTTAGCGGGAACTTCCGCTTGGCTATGTCTCTAAGTAAGGTATGGATGGGGTAGGAGGATAGGAACCCTAGTTGTTTGAGGAAGGAGAAATACATATAGTGTTGAATGCCCATGAGATAAAGTTTAACCGTGTTGTGCAAGAATTTTTCACTTAAGGTGGCAAAAAAGAGGCGAAGGCCATAAGTGGTGAAACCTCAAACCAGCTATCTAAGTGATGGTCCGACATGAACGTATTGTATAAGTGGAAAACCCTGTAGCAAGCGTGTTGAGTGCTGGTGGACAAGGCCAGTTTAGTCAGAGCCCGGCTATGTTCATGTAATCCATGACCTTGACCATAATTGACCCCCCTGCCATGGCGGCTGTCACGGCAGCTGCCACAATAGTTTACCATTACGTGTCGGTCTGCCGTGGCTTGGTTGTCTAGGGACAGCCCCTGATCATCATGCGGGAGTGTGGAAAAAGCAAAGTGGTCTGAGATGAAAGCTCAGCCTGTGGTATGATTTAAGGAACCTGGTAGGGATTGTAGTTCCATGCGGTTGCAAGTACCAAGCAGGAGGTGTTAATTGGTGTTGTTGCGACTGTTCCTATTTCTCTCGTGGTAATTTGTTGGCATGGATGCCGAGTCAAGTTGTATACCCAGGAATGTAATGATAGTGTCTGGGTCTTCTGTGACCTTAGGGAATACTGGGACACCCAAGTGTTCAGACATAGTAATGGCTTCCTCGAAGCTTCTCGAGGGAAAGGCGTTCCCTTTGACCAACAAGAAATCATCTTGGGAGTGTATGACTGTGGGGCATCTGGATATGTTTAACCACAACCAGCAAAGAGTTCAACGAATATATTGAAGATTGAGGGCTGCTCTTGACCTGAAAGTTAAGCGGGAGAAAAAATATTAACTGCTGCCCCTAAATGCCCTGTAAGTGCCACTGTAATGTGGATGGTGGCAGTCTGAAATGCGTTTGTGATATCAGTTTTACTAAACCAGGCTTCCCCCCCTGCTTGCGTGATAGCTGTAATGGTATGAACAATGGTGGCATACTGTAATGAAAACTCCTCGGGGGGTATGAGGGAGTTGAGACTTGGGGTAGCCGAGGCGTGAGGTGGCAGATAAGTCTATGATCAGTTACAGTGTGAGGGAGATTGCGCCACGCTGTAAATGGTGTAGATCGGAGTGGCCCAGGTAGAAATCTTTCTGCCATTTCTTGGGCCATGAGTCTAATGTCAGCTGTTGGATGCTGCTGTGATGACTGCAAGTTAGGGCATTCTAGATTCCCCCAAAAGTATATGGCAATACCTGAACAGAAGGCCCTTAAAAACGGAGATTAGGAAATCAACTAAATGTCTGGAAGGATGATGAGTTAGAAAGTACTGGAAATGCATATTGAGAACATATCTGCAACAGTCTGCATGCACTGAAACTACATGTGCCAACATGGAAATTGTTGCAAATCTGGGATTTGCCAAAGAAAATGAGACGACCCAATTTGTCTCTGGTAGTTCTCTACGTACTACCAGAGGTACTAGAGCCTGGAGCCTGAAACGTGATTGTCCGCTGTGTTGGGACAAAATTGTCGTGTGGGACTGGCAACATCTTCTCCAACTGAAAGTGTGTTGACTGTAGCTGTAGTGTTAGGTAGAGAGAAATCCTTACCACCTGCTTGATACATACTAAAAAACATGAAGATAGCCATTATTATATGAACCCACAGTGTGCTAGTCCTGGCTTGCTAGCTGAAGCCGCATGGCGAAACAATGAATCCTTTGTTTGGTGACAGGTGAGGCCCTGCTAGTTGCCAAGTGGCTTGAGAGGCTCTATCTATGCAATGGCGCGAGGGGATTTTTGTGGCCACCAAACGTAGTGGCAGAATGTGGGCCTCTCGGTGACAGTAACCAGAAAAAGGAGAAGGAAGTGACAGGTGAGGCCCTCTCTATATACCATGCGAGGCGGCTAGCTCACGAGTGGCCCGATGGGTGTTTGCCTCCAAGCGTTGAGGCGGGGTGTTGGCCTCGCGGGACCACTATACGACAGGCATAGATGCCAAGAAAGGAGAATACCTATTGGAAACCTATAGTCCCTAATTGCCAGTACGCCAAGGATATACCCAGGGGGAAACAGAAAATGTATGTATATACCACATGGGCAGATGTATGTATCTGGTAGTATGATTAGATACCCTTACTGGTAGTAAGGGTTATTAATACCTGTATCCCAGATGGGTAAAACAATGTATGAAAATGAAATATAGACATTTAAAAGCGTATACCCATATGTGTGTTATGCAAGTTTAATAGAGCAAAGTGCAACAGATTTTTACATGAACAGCTAGGTGAGTAAAAGGTAACAAAATAACTGTGCAAAACGAAAGGAAAACCGTAAAGTGAAGACCCTTGCTGTGCTG